ATTGAGTTTGTCAACACGCAGTAGGGCAGCGAGTAATATAATAAAGATTAGCAGTAAATATGAAAACTCATCTACAGGACAAAACCACATTGCAATTGCATTACATTTTCACAACACCACCATCTATCGAAGAAATGGGTTAACTATTGTGCTTCAGATTTAGTTAATAAGGTTAATATATTTTTGTATAATATATTTAATACGTTCTTTAATACTTTTGTTTACTGCGTTTTAGATATACATAATTATATCATTATTTTACATAATTTAACTATGATTTATGATATGATATTAGTTTAAAATGCACTTGATGACTCAAACAAAGCCACCGTTGAGCAAATTCGTACCTATACTTCCCTATCCATACTTCAGAATATTTATCATAACTTTTGATGGAATGAACTGATTTTAATGAAATAAAGACTAAATGTAACACGAAGATACACTTTATAATTTCCTTAACAATTCTTATGATATAAATTAGTACTTTATACGTGATACGTTAACAAACAAACAGACAGACAGACAGACAGACAGACAGACAGAAAATTCTAAAAATGGTAGAAATGTATTTAATTACTTATTTTTAGTACCCCTCAATCACTTTTATTACAAAAATATAAAATGTACAGACATCTGCTATTTACAGTTTTATTATATGTATAGATTTGTTAATTTTATTACTAACATATTTTAGTTTATAAATTACTTACTAACCCATATGGATCAAAACAAATGATGGTCCGAAATAAATGATGATGATGATTACTATTATTAATTCTATAAGGATACTATAGAAATACTCGTTAATAATAAATTAGAGTAATTTATTATTGTATTTAAATGGCGTCATAGAATAAATAATAGTATTACGTACAGAAGCTGCACTACTTTTGTTGTTACACTGCTTGCCGACGTTTTAATAGCATACATAATTATTATTAATTAGATAAATCGCGCACAATAAAACTTTATCACTGCGCGTGAGTGTCCGTATTACTTTGCATATTTTCCTCTTCCTACGTCACGGCGGACTTTACGTGATTACTAAGGGCTGTCAAGAGTAAAAAATAAATTGCGAAATGGTAAGTAAGTTACTTAGGTAAGGTACTTATCTGTTCTGACTATGATCGACTGACCATATTTTCGCTTCTATGTGAGTTCTGTGATGCCCAACAGATGCAACTTGCAAGGCCATTCGTCACGAATCGCGATGCCTAGCTCGGAAGAAAAGTTAGGTAGTGTAAAAAACAAATAAATCCGAAATACGATTTCTAACAGCAATTTGATCATATTCTAGTTAGTTAAAAATCTTGTAAATAAAGTTTTCTTGTAATTTCAGTATTTTGTGTTATCATAACTTAAAATATTTTAATTATAACAGACAAGTATAGGTATGTAAGTAGGTAGGTACCTACTTGCATAGTGAAGTAAATTTTTTAACTAAGTGCTGTAATAAAGTACTTAGGTATTACTTCTGTAGTTAAATTATTACTTAATTCTTTTAAAAAAAGGAAATGAATCCACCTTTCATTATCCTTCGGTAACTTAAGAAATGATATATCTGAATCCTTTTGTTTGCTCCATCCATACACGCCAAATTTATAGTAGGAACGACTACGTACTTTAACAAGTATTTACAAAAAACAATTTACGTAAACAGCGTTAAAAAACTTTAACATTCAATCGCCTAGAACGCGCTAGCCCCGACTTCGTATATAGCCCGAGGCGCCTCACTATTATAGGTAATTATTTCACGCATGTAGCAAGAGTGACAGGTCTGACGGCGTGTGCGGTCATGCAGCGGCGCTCATTTATTTGTGTGAAACGAACGTAGCGGTGCCATATTATGCGTAATAAATACTAACAATGGGTCAACTCCTTTGTTATACCGCAAAATACCTACACAGCTGCCTCGACGTCTAGTCGCTAAAAATATGCAAGGGTTGTCACAAAAACATTTTCTTAGATATAAGATTAGATAATAATATCATAAAATTATATTTTATCTATATTCATCCTGATAATTTACTTTTCTATACAAAGATACAAACTAATTAGGTAATACTTTACAAAACTAGTTGCGTTTCGCAGCGTCACCTGATTCGTCGTGATGGAAACGAAGGCTTGTGCTGGTAGGTACTTACCTAATTTTACTATATTTTACCTATATAGCAGTATATCAGGTATTTTGCTTAAAATATTGCATAGGGGGTTGAACAGAATAAATAAAACAGGCTAAAATTATACGTTGGTTCTGTTAAATGTTATAACCGACAAATATTTACGACATTTATTATTTGTTTTTTTTAATTGCCTTTTGTTGAATTTAATGATATAATAAATTCTCATACCTCCGCATATTCCTCTACACAAACGAATAAGAAGTGTTCCTCTCTAATGACCCGCGCGTACTTGTGCCACTTAAAGCAGCGGACGGGTCGCCCCATTGTTATTATTTTGGGCGTATGCTTAAGATACTACCTAATGTTTAATTATAGTTATAAAGTTCTGCGCAAATAATAACTTTTTTATCGTGGGGAAATACTCATGGATACCTTCTTCTGCGGGGGCAACAGAAAGGTTATGCCGGACTCCTACCGGCCAAAACCCCACGTTGGTCTCCATCAGCGTATATGAGGGGTCCCAGAATCTCCGTTCGGAACGCAACCGGGCCCCCTCTCTCGCTCTACTCTGTTAAAGTACGTCCCGGGGTCAGTCCTTACTGCCCCCAGCACCCTCGCAATGCTATCACGGTGCTCGAGACCACTTTCGAGTCACCGTCCTCCTCAGGTGTTACATCACTAGACGCCCGTAACCCCCGAGGCTCCGTTTCTGTTAGGGGAACACCATCATCAAGGGGAGGGCCGTGACGAACGACTTGGCGGCGTCGTCTTCGAGCGGAATCTGCCCTCTCCCGACACCGCTTAGCAGCCTCCTTCTGGACCATAACGGATTCACAGAAGGCGGCTACGGCCCTTCACGCGGAGTCCCTGCTCAGCATCGCCGACACGACTGCTGGCAGGGGGAGGTTCTGACCGATCCGGCTTACCAGGACCGTCCGCTCCCGTTCCCACGCTGGTCATGTTGCCAGCGTATGGCATGGGGGTCCTGTTCCTGCCCAACGCAGTGAAAACAGTTCGTCGTCGCTTCGCGTCCAATCTTACACAAATAATCACCGAAGCACCCGTGCCCAGTCATTATCTGTATAAGTCTGTAGGTGAGTCTTCCTGTTCTTCGATGCATCCAGGATTCAAATTGCGGCAGGATTGCTTTAACAACGCGTTTGCGCGCATAACGCTCTTCAGAGAGGCGAGCGCGCCACGTTACGAATGCATTAAGTCGTTTCTGCCGCTTGACTCCTTCAAACACGTCATCTGGCTCACTCCTGACGCTCTGGCGGAGGACACGCGTCCGGTCGTATACCCTCGCATCCATGTCCGCCAGTATGTCCAGAGGTGGAAAGCGAGCCAGGACTGCTGCCGCCTCAAAGGATATCGTGCGGTATCCTCGCACGATCCGTATGGCCATCCTCCGCTGCACCCTGTAGATTGTAGCTCTACAGCGTTGGATGGCCAGCCTTTTCGCCCAAACAGGCGCCCCGTACAAGGCTATGGACCGTATCACTCCTGCATAGAGGCGACGCACTTCTTCCTTTGGTCCCCCTAGATTGGGCAGTAGTCTATGCATAGCATTAGCACCAGCTACCCATTCAATTCGAGGGACAAGGCGCTCGAAGTGTTCTTCGAAGCCCCATCGACTGCTCAGGTGGAGGCCTAGGTACTTTATATACCGCCCCACTTGGACTTCAGACCTACCTACGCGGACGCACGAGTCCCTGGGTGGTTCACTGCCGCGTCGTAATTTATGGAGCGCAAATAATACCTACAGGTCTCGTCACGTAAAAAGAACGCTGAGCGACAGTGGAGGGAGTGTGTCTGCGCATGGGTACAGTCGCGTTCTAAAGTATTACATGATACTAGACTATTGTTTTATAATATAATAGTAATTAATTGTTTTATTGTAGAATCATAATAGGTACTTTACTAGCTACTTAGAACTTTGGAAGAGGTTGAAATTAAAAATGGATAATGTTTACTTGAGCATTATTTTTTATTTCTGTCGTAAAATATAAAGTAGTTTGTAACAAGAAAACTTAAGCTAAGGGTGACACGGCGTCCACTATATTGTCTTGGGTCACATGGAAGCCAGATGTGGATGGTGTGTTAGTGTTACTGGATGCTACTTCATCATCACTTTCATCTTCGCTTGAGCTTCCGTCATCAGAATAATCATCCAATGCGAATGATAAATGTTTCCGTCATCAGGTCGACCACATGGTAATTTTTTCGGTATTCTTCCCCAATACTTTTAATTTTACTGCACAAATTTCCCCATTCACCTTTTCCCATCATTATTTACCTTTTCGTTCACTAGTCCAGTCATAAAATAATAACTTTGCTCTCCTTTATTTATAAAAACCATCGTCGCGAGTCGTGCAAAGAAAGCTGTGTGTGCGACAGTATTTTGGGAGTGAACAAAGCACGGGAAGTATGAGGAACCAATAGCATGCGCGGACAGTAAGGCCGGCCACATACATACGGAATTCCGTTTCGGGATTCCGTTTCGATATTCCAATTCAGGATTCCGGACGCAGCAAGTCCATATAAAATATATGACCCGTCACACACGCACGGTAGTTTTCCGTTCGAAAATTTGCGGCCAAAACGGGATTCCGTATGTGTGTGGCCGACCCGTTCGGAATTCCGAAACAGAATCCCGAAACGGAATTCGGTATGTATGTGGCGGGACAAATACGAGCATTCCCTCGTTGCGCCCCCTTCGTACCACCAATTTAATCGATAAATCGCTCAGTGCGCAGGTTCAAGGCCAGCGTTCTTTTTACGTGACGAGACCTATACCTTCCAAGAATTCAATAAGTAGGCAGATGAAATACACTAGGAATAGGGTATTTTTTTTTACAAAATACAAAAGTATTTCAATTGTCATAATAATTTATTTAACTCTATGTTACCAGTGAAGTACAATTTTTGGTAATATTTAATTTGTTAATATTTAATTTGGTTAATATTTTATCAACATGACCTTATAACAAACTGCAATAAAATAGAATATTTAGATATAATTTTTAGCAGTAAACATACTTAGTCTTTATTAAGTTACGAAAAGTACTTATAAGTACAAATTTAAATGGTTCAAAAAGTTTAACTATTTCATATCAACAATTGCATAATATTAGATTTCTTTAAAACTAAGAAGACTACCTAAGATTATTTTTTACGAGGTAAAGTATACAACCTATATACGAATGTCGCCCAGTTGGGCATTATTCATTTGTTAATTCAATCTTTCTATATTTTATTAAATATGTAAGCATGGTTTCGAGTATGATTACCATTATTTTGTTTAACAATTACAATTTTTAACTAATTTTCATTTTCTTATGTAATTAGCTTAAACAGAAACTATATTTCTAGATGTAAATTCTTGTCATGTAATTATAAAAATAAAGTACATTCGCTTTCTAGTTTTATAATTACGTACAATTTGTGAGTATGAAAGGTAAGTTTCTACACACATATTAAGTATTTATCACTAAAAGGCTTTTTCATACACAGTGTGACAGTTAAATAACATCATTTATGGTAGGTATTAAGGTCCTATATTGTAATATGCAACATTTTAATAATTTATAGATGCATAATATTTTTTTGTAGGTAATATTTTGGTGAGGTTAGTTTAGTCGACATACTGCATACTGCAATCATTAACGCTAATTGAAAATTATAAAAATAAGTAAATCAACGTTAAGTCACCAAGAAATAATGTCATTCAAATTCTTTTTTAGTTTTCTATTAGTGTTAACGATTGTACCAAGTCAACTTGACAAACTCCTGTTACACAAAAGTGTTTATAACGTTGAAATGTCTAACCCCGCTGTACAATTACTGTATTTAAATAAAAATAATTCGCGTAAATATAAGAAATCATTTCGCGTAAATATAAGAAAAAAAATAATTACGGTATTTTTGTTCTTTTTTTTATAGGATAGGGTGACAAACGAACACACAGTAGGAGTGGACGATATACATCGATGTTTTAAAAATACTCGATGTATAGTAACGATGCATCGAATCAAACCGATGTATTGTTAAGTATTTAAACATCGAGTATACATCGATGTTTTTTTTCGATGCATCGAAAAGGCAAACAATCAAACCTACCCCTCCCTCTCTCTCTCTACGGTTAGTAACTATTTTTTTGTCTTTTTCAATTACATTATTTAGCACTCGCAAGGTGTTTCGTCAAAAAGTTGTATCACTGGTTGAAAAGGCAGCCAATATTATAGAGGTCAGTGCAACCAACCCATAAAAAAATATGTGCAAATGGCCGACTGAATTGACCCGCCGTCTCTCTGTCTCTCTTACTTACAGTTAGTTGCAGTCTCTGGCTTAATAAAATCATATTATTTTAATTTTGGTATTAATTAAGTACCTACTCAGCTTGATTCAGAATTCATTTTAAAATTTGCTGTGTCGTGTTAGCAATAATATTTATAAATCGAAGTGTTAAACTGAACAACACGTTATATGTAATATTAATATCATAATAAGTATGTGAACACGTTGGACAAGTAAACAAAGGTAAGTGCGTGCATCTAAATAATATATAAGTAACAATTTTCGAGATTTCCGTAAAAGCATGATTGTAAAATAAACAAAAATTCCGTAACTAATACATTGCGTTTTAGTCTTCTAGGTTAGAAATATAAAAATATTTTTCATATTAATCTGTCTAATCTAAGTAATCATGAAAATGTCCAATTATTTACTTTAAAGGGAGTAATTATTTACCATAACAAATGATACTTACGGTAATCGATACATTTTTATTAGATAAGTCGAAGTTAATAACGAATCATATTACTAGTGATTCCATGTTATCGATATCACGTTATCGATATTTTTTTAATTGAAAATATATTCCTTTTTTATCTATTTCAGAATATAATGGCGCCTAAAAAGAAAAGTTTAGTCTGGAAGTTTTACGACAGAATTGATAACAATAAATCTAAATGTAAGTTATGTCAAAAAGTTATCAAGTGTACTGGAAATCCAACAAACTTATTTGGGCATATTCGTAATGTCCACAAAGCTGCTTACATTGAAATTGTTCCGTTTCAAAGGACTACATCGGAGAAAGAAAGTATTACGCAATCAGTTCTAGAGCCAGCTGCTTCAAGTTCCAGACACCTTGCATTGGTATTGTTGATGAACTTAAATCAGTTCAATCTGATTCCGAAACCGTTATTCCTTTGAGTAGTTCTCAAAGTACGTCAAAACCGTTGGATAAAGCTTTAGATTCTGACTCGGATGTAATCCCTATAAAACGTCAAAAATCTATCAAGACCAGTTTTCAAGAAATCTCCTCTTATTCAGAATCCGGCATGAAAACAAGAAAACTTAACAATTGTTTCATCATCATCATTACAGCCTTTCATAAGTCCATTGCTGAACATAGGCCTCCCCCAAGGAATGCCACAAAGCACGGTCCTGAGCCACCTGCATCCATCGACTTCCTGCATGTCTTACCAGGTCGTCACTCCATCTCGTGGGGGGTCACCCTACATTTCGCCTACCGATACGAGGCTGCCACTCAAGAACCTTTCTTCCCCATTGGTTGTCGGTTCTTCGAGCTATATTATAGCCGGCCCACTGCCACTTCAGCTTACTAATCCGTTGGGCTATGTCAGTTACTCTGGTTCCACTGAGGATATACTCATTTCTAAGTTTATCACGCAGAGAAACCCCGAGCATAGCCCTCTCCATAGCTCGCTGAGCGACCTTGAGCTTCCTCATTCGGCCAGCAGTGAAGGACCACGTCTCAGATCCGTAAGTCATCACTGGCAACACGCACTGGTTGTACAATTTCGTTTTAAGGTTTTGAGGTATGACTGACGAGAAGATGTGTCGTAGTTTCCCGAACGCTGCCCAGCCGAGTTGAATCCGTCGATTGACCTTTCGGTCGAAGTTATACTTACCTAGTCGGACTATTTGTCCCAGGTAAACATACTCGTCAACAACTTCGAGCTTAGTGTTCCCAACAACTACCGGCATAGGTGTGACATGGACATTAAACATGATCTTTGTTTTGTTTTGTTCACGTTCATCCTAAGACCTATTCGTTGGGAGACACTATTGAGGTCATTGAGCATGGTGCTTAGATCCTCCAGCGATTCTGTCATAAGGACTATATCGTCGGCAAATCGAAGGTGGGTGATGTACTCGCCATTGATGTTAATACCGTATCCTTTCCAGTCCAGAAGCTTGAAAACGTCTTCCAATGCAGCGGTGAAGAGTTTCGGGGATATAAGATCACCCTGTCTTACACGTCTCTGCAATTGGATAGGTTTCGTACTCTGGTTCTGTACTCGGATAGCCATCGTAGCTCTACTGTACAAACACTTCAGCACTTCGATATACCGACAGTCAACTTGGCACTGCTGAAGGGACTGCAGCACCACCCAAATTTCGACGGAATCAAAGGCTTTCTCATAGTCCACATACGCCAGACATAGTGGCAAAGTGTACTCTTCGGACTTCTGTACAATTTGCCGAAGGGTATGTATGTGGTCTATGGTGCTAAAGCCCTTTTAGAAACCGGCTTGTTCGGGAGGCTGGAAGTCGTCAAGTCTGCGCGTGAGACAATTCGTAATGACTCTCGAAAACAGCACGTAGACGCGGCTCAGAAGGGAAATCGTCACTTCGTCTTTAGTTCTTCAAGAAAGCGTTGTCACCTTTCTTGAAGAACAAGACCACCGCACTTCTGCTCCACGCCTCCGGTGTAATGCCACCATGGAGGACGGAATTAAAGAGCTTCTGAAGGACTTCAAGTACCGGTCTTCCACCCGCTTTCAGAAGCTCCGCTGTAATTCCATCCTCGCCTGGGGCCTTGCCTTGACGTCCGGGATATCTTCGGAATAGTGTTCAATTGCGAGTACGTAATATAAACCGAAAAATAATAAACCTATATTTTTCGGTGTTTGTTTTTATTTATTTATTTCTAAATTAATGTATTTTTGGGACATTCGTTGTTCAATAATACTCAAAAAATATGTAAAGAAGCACACATTACAAGTGTTATGATCTTAAGCTAGACAATATTTTTTATGTTTTACGGATGGTTATTTTTTAATTCGTTTGAAAAGAACGTGCCTCCATGGCACTTACATATCCTATACCTATACCTATCGTTATATGCAATGTTACAAATGTTAAAAAAATGATGAGCACCATAAGAACACTTTTTAGAACTGATAAAAGTAAATGAGTATTTATCATCATCATTACAGTCCTTCAAAACATACCTACATGTTATACAACATACAAGTCGCGGCACATAAGTCTAGCGCTGAACAATACTTGGAGTGGACGGGCACGAATTGAATTGCACAAAGGCGACTGGAGAGCCAATCAGCGCGTGCGAACGATACGTACGAGCTAATCAGCGCGACTTATGCGCAATAAGCCAATCAGCGCGACTTTTGCGCAATATCGGTCACCGCTATACTTTCGTGCCGCTACTTCTACTACACAGTTGTTATACAGGTTATTTTATATCAGTTGTAAAGAAATGAAAAACAGCAATTCTTGGTCAGCCTATGTTAAGCAGTAGACATGTGAAGAGTGGTAATGATGATGATAATGATTGTATATTTAGAAAATATTTATTTACAAGAGGGCCGGTTCTTTTCTCGCCCATATTCTAAGCATAGTCATTCAGCGAGGAATCATCAGGAGGAATCACTAGTTTTAAGGTTTCTTAGTGTAATAAATGTTGTATGTTATTATTATATGGAGTGATGAACAATGGTCTTTGCTGCTGTCCACCGATGAGTTCCGGTTTGGGTTTCATCCGGATTCCTGGTGATCCATGGAGAGTTAGCTGTCTACGGCACCCTCAGAAGGTCCACTCATACCAAGGCGGGACAATCATGGTGTGGGCAGGAATTCGTCTTGGCGGACGAACCCAGCTCGTTTGGAACCAAGGCAGCATGACTGAACAAAAATACCACGAGAAGGTAGTAGAGCCTGTTATTGTCCCACATAGAATCCAAATGGGCCAGGAGGTTTTACTCATTCACGATAATGCTTAATGTAAATGCGGCGCGGCTGGTGTAGGCCGCTCTGCGAGACCACGATATTCAAGTTTTGGATTGGCCTGCACATTCGCCCGACTTCGATCCTATCCCATGCCGGGAACATGTTAAAATGAAATGCTTTGAGAGATTTCCCGCCGAATGTGACGACGGAACAACAACTTTACCAACACTTGCAAAGAACATGGGACCTCATACCGCAGCAAGGGATTGACAATTTAATTTTAAGTAAGTAATTAATGTAAGAGGTGGCAGCACTGATTATTAATAATTAGATTTTAGAAGATTTTTTTAATTTTATTTAAAATGAATAGTTTCTTTTAAAGAAGAAATGAAGTTTTTCTATCATACTAATTTTCTACGGCGATTAAAAAAATAATATTTTTATTTAAAACAATAGGTACAATTCCAAGACCTTAAAATAGCCTATCATTCTTCCATTTACTATATCAGAAAATTCTTCATAGATTTTTTAGGTATTTGATGAAATATAAAATATCCATAGATTCTATATTAATGTGTTTATACTATATTACTTGTAGGTATTTAAAATTGATTCGGCTTAACTATTTTATCATGATTATTGGTTGAATGCTTTTCCATCACATTGTGTTGAGTCAACTTGGTAAAGACAATGTTCTTCTCTAACACCAAGAGCTGCTGATTTAATACCCTGTTAACCATCTTCTGTCACAACCTAGGACTCTACCATACATTGCCTTGTATTCGAAATTATTTAATTTAAATATTAAGATTGGCCTTGTTCGTCGGCGTCCACGTATTTGATGTGTTGCGCGTAGGCGTTGCTGGCTAGCTCCCGGAGACTCTGCTCCGAGGCGGGGCTTAATTGCTTCACCATGCGGGTGAAGTAGCCGTCACTTTTCTGTAGCAACTCGTGTGGATGACCTGATTCCACAATCTGACCGGCTTCCATGACCTGAGAAAGTCAATTGTTTACTGTTTAGTTTTTATTTTGCATAAAAGTTATATGAAATTCATTAACTAGGAAATTAGTTTTACGATTTGTTGGTACGATTCTATTACTCACGTAATACAATTTGAATAATTTAATTGAAATATAAATTAGTTCTCGTAGATATAGTGTTATTACACATATAACTAGTTGTTATTATGCTTCTTCTTAAAAGTCGGTTAAAAATATGGTGCAATAGGGTATTTTACACCATGTAAAAAAAATCAAATATATATATATATATATATATATATATATATATATATATATATATATTTATGGTAGGTTTTGTAAAAAATGAAAAGAGAAATATTGATTTTTATTCATAAAATGCATTATTAATTTTATAATTCAATTTTAAGAATATTTTTTTTAACTGTGCCTCAATTCTTCAAAACGCTATCCGCCATAGTAGATTTCGTCGTGACGTCACTAGTTAAGTAAACTAGTAATCCAGTAACTTAGTTGCCTTAAAGTATCAAATCCGGTAGTTCTGATTTTTTGTAGACTTGTTTATGATGTTGACCTAATGAATAATCCAAGTTTGTGACTTCGTGCGCCGAAAGCAGCTTTGTCAGAAATCGGAAAAACCGCGAGAAAATAAATTTTTTTCAAATTTTGGCGATTTTACAATCTACTATACAATACTATTGGGTCTACAGAGACAATTCTAGTATCATATTGTAGCAAATTCAGTCTAATTTAAAAACGTCCTAAGAAAGCTTTTTCAAAATTAGTCCTCTAGGGTTATAATCGCCAAAATTTGAAAAAAAAACTATTTTTTCGCAGCTTTCTCGATTTTTGACAAAGTTGCGTATGGCGCTCGAGGTCACAAATTTGGATTATTTATTGGGCCAACATCATAAACAAGTCTGTAAAAATCAGAACTACCGGATTTGACACATGCTGTGATGTATAAAGTTACTGGACTAAGCTAATGTGCTGTGTGTTATTTCGAAAAATTTTCAAGTTATCATTACGATTGTTGAGTTTTATTCCGAATTTTATTGGAAAGGCATCATGGAAGACGGATTCGTAAAAGCAAAAAGTACTAATCTACCAAGGATAAATACATTGATAATGCTTCTGCCGAGTTGAGGAATGTTAATACATCAATGTAAGTACCTATTACCAACTTTTGTTTATACAATAACACAATACCAGGTCAGAGTGTATTTTGATAACACGTAGTTATGTTTATCTATGAAAGCAATCGTTAGTTATAATATCTAAGATAGGTACTTAATCTATTACAATTTTAATTATTCAAATTTAACTTGCAATACCTATCACCTCATGATGTTTGTTTTGTATAAACGACTGTTGAATATAAGTCATACATCAAAATTATTTTCACGGAAGTCTAAGATTTTGTAAACAATGTATTCGGGTGTCTTCTTGCCAGTTTTAACCAAGTATTTCTCATATTTAAATATTTAAATATTAAATCAGTTGGCACTTGAATCCATAACCTCCCCAGCGTTCTTATGCTCGTATTTGGCATTCAGGTACAAGCCACCAATGATAAAGATAATAACTCATTATTAAACACCAAAAAATATCTTATTCCTTTGCAAAATCGGCAAAATACTAGGGCAGTGACGTCACGAGATTAACAGCATGGCGACTAGCGGTTTCGCGTAAACGAAAATTTAAAATGATAAATTAAAAGTAAATTTTATGGCACTATTCGGTTTTAACAAAAAAAAAAAAATTTAAAATGAAAGTGGTTCACTATCACTGTGGAATTCATTTAAAACACTTTTTGAAAAAGGGTGTAGTATCCTATTATGTAGGTATTTAAAATGCGTAGGTTTGAGAAGTGGTATTGCTAAAAACTTCCATTTCGTTCACCTAATTTAGCAAATTATCATCACATTACTGTGACGCTTTTAAAATAAGTTGAATTGTTTATAAAATTAAAATCACGTTCACGTTATGCGTATGACATTTGTACAAAACTTACGATGACTCGATCGGAGTCGGCGACAGTGTGCAGTCGATGAGCTACTGTTATCACTGTGCACTCGGCGAAATATTTGCGTATTGATTTCTGGATTAAGGCATCGGTACTGCAATGAAATTTATAAATATTAGCAACACCTAAACGGCTGGACAGATTATGATGAAATTTTTTATGTGTGTAAGAGATAAAGAGATAAATGGTTTAGATTCACAATTGGACCCGGTAGGAGGCGCTGTTTTCGAGATCCAGAAATCACCCGTGCGAAGTGTGGCACTAGTTACTTATATAATTTTTAAGTCTTATGACATATACATAAATACATAAACACTCACTCCTGTCACCCAGAGGGGTAGGCAGAGACGGAGATCATTTGTCACGATCCTGACACACCTCTCTCGTCTCCTTTACTTCCATATACCTACGCATACATGCTCGTCGGTTGAGCATACTCTTAATCTAGCCCATCTTTAATATATCGCTAATTTGATCGACAAACTTTCTCCTAGGGCGTCACTTCCTGACTCTGTCGTTCACTTCAGCAACATAAATTTGCTTTGTTACTCCTCGTTCATTCTTTCTATATGACCAAACCACCGAAGCACTCCTTTCTTAGTCCTGGTCATAACATCATCTTGCAAATCACACTTTTCTCTTATTACACTATTTCTTACCCTGTTATTCAGATTCAGTTCTAACAGGGAGTGCGGGGTAATGAGAGCGAAAGCGATTGGACCTATGCACATTCGTGTGATCTTAAGCACTCGGGCGTTTCCGTCAACCATAGAAAAAAATTGGCTGTCGTGAACGAGTCGTAAGTAGGGATGGGCAAGGGGAAAATATATCGTTATATAACGAATCGATATTTTAAAACAGTATCAATATATATCGCGTGATAAATATCGGTATATCGTCATCATTTGCATGATGAATAGAAAAGAATAGAATAGAATAGAATAATTTTTTATTTAATATAGATCACATGTGTAATTCTCATTGAAAGCCAGTTTTTACTTTACCACTGGTTCGAAAAAAAACCTCTGTCTTGGGAAGAACCAGCAAGAAACCCAGCGGGACCTTTTTTTAAAAGCACTCATATTTTAAATTTATTTTAGAAACAGCTTAGAAGCGACTACCTCATTCCCAGGGGTTATTATCAACCATGTATTCATTTATACCGTAGATGCACAGACCGCGGCCCGCCGGTCGAATACTGGTGGCCCGCCGACAGCAAAAGTAATACTCTCGTACATTCGAAAAATATTGAATTATATTCCAGTATAAAACCAAAAAAAAAAAAATATGTTCGAAAAGTAATTTGAATCTCGCGCGCGCGCTCTTAAGTGCGCTTATCGGTGCGCCGTGCATGCGTCGGTAACAGCGGTCGGTAATGTTCGTGCTGATCTCGGTTAAATTCGTTTTCTTGAGGAACCGTCGCGGCCGGCGGCGCGTCGACGATGGCAGCGCGGTGGCGGCTTATCCACGGGTTATATTGTTAGAGCAAGCGAGATAGCAATAGTCCCGAATTCCCGATTGCTCGCGTAGGTAGATACACGAAGCTTCCAGAGTCGGTTTCGTGATTTCTCCAGACAGTTTTCGACTCTATACGCGCGGTATAAAAGCCACGCTAACCGCAGCGACCGACAGTTCGGTTTTAATTTGTGTGAAGTGTAGTAGTAGTAGTAGTAGTAGTGTAGATTTTAACTCGACTAGCCGGTGTCATATATTTTGATCCACATTCAACGTAGATTTCCCGTCAAGTGCCGTGTATAATTGTGTTGTGAAATCGTAAGTAAAACTCTCTTATTAATAAGTGTTTCCCTACCTATCTAATCAATTATTTTTGGTAATTTAAAAAAGGATGGGTAATTTAAGTAGGTACTGTAATTGTTTTAGGTGCTGTGTTAATCCTAGCCAGGATTAGAACGCAACATGGACAAGCCAGGACCTAGTAAAAAACGTAAGGTTAAAGATGAAAATCGGCAGTTTCAAGAAATTTGGACTGAGAAATACTTTTTTGTATGGTCGCATAACAAAGTCGTTTGTTTAATTTGCAAGAATTCTGTTGCAAAGGAATATAATGTAAAAAGACACTATGAAACGCAGCATCCTACTTTTACCAAGTTTACAGGCGAATTAAGAAAGCAAAAAATGTTGTCTTTAAAACGGGACCTTATTGGTCAGCAAGCTATGTTTACAAAACCCATTCAAGATTCAGAAACAGCTACAGAAGTTAGTTATGAAATTTCTCGAGTGATAGCAAAGCGAAGTCGCCCCTTCAATGATGGGGATTTTGTAAAAGAATGCATAGAAATAGCCGCTAAGAAAATGTGTCCAGAAGCAGCAAAAAAGTTTGAGAAAATTCAACTGAATCGTATGACTATCCAAAGACGAATTATGTCTTTGTCAGGTAATATTGCGGAACAATTAAATGAAAAAACTAAGATCATTGAATTTTTTTCATTAGCACTCGACGAATCCACTGATATCAGTTCCACAGCTCAACTTCTGATATTCATACGAGGTGTTACTCAAGATTTTGAATTCTTAGAAGAGTTATTAGGAATGTGTTCATTGAAAAGTCAATCCAGAGGAGTATACTCAATGTACTTTTGGATGAGTCCTCAAAAACTGATTTGGACTTATTAAAATTATCGGGAGTTGCGACTGACGGTGCTCCTTCGATGATTGGTGTCAATTCTGGGCTAGTTACTTTGCTGAAAAAGCATCTGCAAGAAAAAAACATAAACACTGAAGATCTCATGCAGTTTCACTGCGTTATACACCAAGAAGCCCTCTGTTCTAAAAAAAATGAATTTCAAAATGTCATGAAAGTGGTAGTTTTGACTGTAAATTTCATAAAATCACGAGGACTCAATCACAGGCATTTCAAACAATTCCTTGATGACATCGAAAGCGAATATGGAGATTTACTGTATTATACAGAAGTAAGGTAGCTAAGTCGTGGATTGACACTGGAACGATTTCTAAATTTAATAGAAGAAATTGGAATATTTCTGGCGGAAAAGCAAAGGGATGTCCCGGAACTTAAAAATCCTGACTGGTTGTGTGATTTGGCTTTTTTAGTTGATATTACAAATCATTTGAATGTTTTGAACACACGGCTTCAAGGCGAAAATCAACTCATATCCCAGCTCTACGCTTATGTATCATTCTTTCTTATAAGAAAATGGCTGAAAAATTCAACAAAACTGCGATTAATTTTAGTTATGTAGAAAAGCTAGATATTTTGATTCAATCTTTTCAAGACAGATTTTTGGAGTTTAAAAAAGTGAAACCTCAGTTGGACATATTCAGCAATCCTTTCACGATTTCAGTTGAAAATGCGCCAGAGTCAATGCAGTTAGAAATTATCGACATTCAAAACGACCAAGATTTACGCAACAAATTCAACGAAGGAGACTTGCTGAACTTTTACCGCTGCATTGATAAAAATACGTATAAAGAGTTGCGCATAAACGCTCTGAATTGTGCCAGCTTATTTGGTTCTACCTATATATGTGAACAAACCTTTTCAATACTAAATAATAATAAAACAAAAACTCGAAACCGCCTTGCAAATGAAAGTTTGGAAGCAGTTTTACGTGTTGCTACAAGTAAATTTGAGCCGAACATAAAAAATATTGTAAGCACTATGCAGTGCCACGCTTCAAATGAATAAATTCTTTTTCAATTTTAATACATTATTATCAATTCTTTATTGTCTTTAATTACCTATACTTCTGGCGGCCCGCCATCAGTTCATAATTTGCCCGAGTGGCCCCTTGTCTTAATAAGTCTGTGCATCACTGATTTATACTATAGTAACCCTTTTTATACAGTTTCAACTTAACAAAACATTTAAACTTGGTAATAGGGAGAGCCTGTACACTTTCCGGGACCTTCTTGTAATAGCGTATACATTGCCCCAAGAATGAATTACTGACTCTGTGGAGTCGAGAAACTGGTATCACTAGCTTGTGTTTGTTCCTAGTGTTTACAGAATGTATATCACTTTTTTACTAAAACTAACTTTGTTTTTGTGAAATGATGTATATATATAGAAATGATGTATATACATAGGCTGTACTAAAAGTATCGGGAATGGAATATTTCCACTGTTCCTGTCATATTAAAATCTTTTTAATTGAAAACTACTTGGTTTTTTTTAATTGAATACCATTTATTTATTTAAAAAAAGATTCTCGATCTTGTCACAAGGTTTTGTCAAACTTGTTTAGTCGTTGAGAAAATGGAATTGACTCGAGAAAATTCAAGAACGATGATTTATTATGACTTTCGAAGTGGTTTAACACAAATACAGTGTATTGACCGGATGATTTCTGCATTTGGTGATGAAGCCCCATCCAAAACCACAATTTATCGCTAATTTGCTGAATTTCAACGTGGACGTGTCAAGCTCAGTGATGATTCCCGTCAAGGTCGTCCTTTTGGACGACAAAGAGCAAGAAAACATAGAATTATTAGACCATCCGCCGTACAGCCCTGACCTAAGCCCTAATGATTTTTATACTTTCCCTAAAATAAAGAATAAATTGCGTGGACAGAGATTTTCATCACCTGAAGAAACTGTGGACGCCTACAAAACGGCCATTTTGGAGACCCCAACTTCCGAATGGAATGGTTGCTTCAATGATTGGTTCCATCGTATGGCAAAATGTGTCAAATTTCGCGGAGAATACTTCGAAAAGCAATAAATACATTTTTAAATAGTAATGTTGTGTCACTTCCTTGATTCCCGAAATTTTCAGTGCCGCCCTCGTAAGGTCCAAAATTTTATGTTACTGACGGTTGGACAACGAAAAAAAAGCGATAACCAACCATACATGAATACTTTTGTATTTCCTTTTGTTGTTACATGTTTTGTTATTAATACAACATTTTAAAATATATCGAAATTGTATGAATTGAACTCTAAAATAAATAGCGATATATCGATATATCGCGCTTTGAAATATCAACGAAATATATCGATATTTTTTGGTCAAGCCTAGTCGTAAGTGTCCTGTGTTGTGTTACGAGGGACGGTTGTGTGTTTTTCGCGCCGCGCTTATAAAAAGCTACCGAGTGTGCGTTCAGGTAAGTATGAAGATATATTTTTATTTTATTAGTATGTTTATGCTTGTTACATACCTAGATTTGTCTCCTTTCAAGTGACATTTGACAAATTGTGATTGAAAGGAAAAAAAGCTGCTACTTTACGTCGCTATTCTGTAAGAGCATGAGCTCTTACAGAATAGAAACAAGCAAGAGTAATCCGAGACAAAACCCGGGAAGGCTCGCTCCTTCCCCAGTCGAGCCAACTCATTCGTGCTACAACTATAATATAGCTGCTGCATGGCTCTACCGTGTAGTGGCGGTTAAGAATATCCACTACCCCATATCTTCCCGTGGGTGTCGTAAAAGGCGACAAAGGGAAACAGGCAGGAGATGGGCAGCAGCATCTTCCTGGTAACGGCAAAAATACAATAAAAAAACTGCGGTTGCCAACCCGCTCGCCAAGCGTGGCAACTATGGCAAATACCCCCCCTATGAAGAGAGTAACAAAGAGACGGCCCCCAGTCCCCGGCGGCCCCGCTATTCCTGGCTACGGTGGCGACCATGGTAACGGCGGGGCAGGGGGTGCTAAGAATCTCCGGTGGAGGTTCGGTTGCCACCTACGACGACTCGACCTGGCAACATACAACGCACGCACCTTGAGGACTGACGAGAAGATGGCTCTACCACGTAAAAACTGCTGCTTGC